AGAGAGAGAGAGAGAGAGAGAGAGAGAGAGAGAGAGAGAGAGAGAGAAAATTGAGACTCGTACTTTTTAAAGCCTTTTAGTTGGCTTCGATATGCTCAAAGAATTCTAAATTGCTTTATATCTGACCAAAACCCAATTGCTTCAAATAGTATGAACAACGCTTGCTTATTTTTGGATGCTACTGCATACAAGGATTACATATACGTGTATATAAAATAAATTTTTAATTTCAATACAACATATATTTGCAAAATATAATTAGGTTGGCGGGAAAGTTCTGCCTTTTTTACTGCCTGCCGGTAATATTTCTTTCCAGCTCAAGGCAAACAGATAGAATATGTCATTTTGGATCATATTATTTCGCGTAAATCTCATGGGACATAAGAGATCTATTTGAAGATCCTTCGCCAGTTAATGGTGAAGTCCTATTCTGCGGATAAAGTTCATTTAGGAAATTGCGTTTGGGATGGGTTTCAGAAAGAAAGCAATGGATTTGAAATGTTCAGACCTGCCGAAAGCTCTGGGTATCTCGAATGTCACTATTCCGCTCATTGTCTACTTCAAAGTCAGACGTTGATTTTTAAATGGTTGAATGAAAAATGTCTTCTGGTTTACGTCTATACAAACATGGCAGAGAGCGTAAGGAAATATTTGTAAATTTTCTCTAAAATATTCTCCTTGTCAATTATTTAAATGAAACTTTCTTTTTGCCAATCGATTAGTCGAGCGAAACTTAATGAGATTGCTTCTAAACGTTAACGGAGCAGCTGAGTGTTAAAATAATTAAACGTGTCATTGCTTAAAACCGAATTTGCATAGTTAATCAGGAATATCTTCATTCACTCATTTAGCTAAATTATGGCCGGCAGATGATTATTCTTTTTTTGTTTTCAAAGTTTTTATGTAAGCGAGAACACCTCAATGCATACGAGTTGATAGAAGTTTCAAGATAAAAAAACCTTTTCTTTGCTGACTGAAAAGTGGTTGCGTACACAATAGTTTCGTTTAATACTGTAATAAACTTTTTTATATCATTTCAAATGTTGTTTGTTTGTGTTATTATTCTCGGTTTTTTTTTTTTTTTTGTTTTTTAAATCTTTTAACGCCGTTTTTCTTTGTTTTACAACCGCCAGAAATTTGCGTAAGAAATAAAACAACACGAGCCATTAAATATTGAGTGCTGTGTTCTCTGCTAATGCATTAATGCAAAAAAAAAATTTGTTTTAATAGTAAGACATTTCCGGCGGAGGGGAAAATTTGCTTTCCTTCAACGGCAAAGATATATTTAATCTTTATTTTGATCATGTTATCTTAAGATGAACTCTAAAGTTTATGAAAAGTTAAATGATGCAAATGCATTGTTCAAGTTAGTTTTGAGGAAAGATTTATATTTCCTTAAGTTTCTATGAAGATAACTGAATCATATGATATTTGTTTTAAGTATTATTTTTTATGGGGTAAGAGACAAGTAAAAGCACTATCGTATGCCACGGCCCATTGTCGAATACCCTACACCGTCTAACAGTTATTTATATAGAGAAATTTTAAAATTAGCTGTTGCCTGGGAAGTGGCCAGAGCGCTCATCTTTGGGCCAAAACACGACAGTATACTAAATTTCATCAAAATATCTCTAAAATTGCCACCTACATGCTGAACACAAGAAAACAAAAAACAGAAAGACGGCTTGACGGACGGACAAGCTTAAATCGATATAGAAAGTGGTTCTGAATCGATGATCGATATAATAAACTGTGGATCTATCTCAAGCGCTTTTAAATGTTGCATACAGTCGCACAACTTAATATACTTTTATACCGCAAGTAGTGTAGGGAATACACAAAAGTTTCTATGCTTGCTACGTATTTCATCTACATTGTCCATTGGAATCCATTTTAAAATTTCCAACTATTTCCATCAGCAATATTTCAGTTGTTGTAATTATATTTTGTATTCGTTTAGATATTTTGCTCATATTCCCACGCTCGCTAATGTACGAACATTAGGGATCTTGTTTTTGCAAAAATTTAAAAATAATTTTTCATGTTTAGTTACAGTTGAACAAAGTAAATAAATTTTTGTATACACTTTCAAAGGGTGGCAGTATATTAACTTTGTCTCTCCGTTTGAAATTCTCAGACCTTTTTAAGTAAAAAAGTGTTCTTAGAACCTTGACGTTCTAAGAATGAAATTTAAGGGCGGGCTTAACCTTGTGCCTTCTAGAACTTGGTATAAATATCGCTCCAGACGACTATATAAAAGATCAGAATTAATGTTATTTTATTACGGACTAAGTGAAACGTCGGCAATTAATAAAATACTTCATATGGTTATGTATTGGTTCGAGATACCTCAAGTGTATTAAAGATTCGTCTTAAGTGAATATAATTTAATCTCTCGCTTGTTTTGTGTTTCTTTCCTGTTGTTTCTTTTTTCGTTTCTGCTGACAAATGAAATTTTAATCATATCTGCTTGCAGACACTCTGTAAGTATCGACGAGCAAGGGTATGTACTTATTATTGAAGGCATCTCAAGAACTAAACATATTTTCAACTGAGTTAATTACAAAAACATCTACTAGTAGCAAAATAAAGCAATATAAGTAAAAAAATTATATTTGTTTTGCAGAAATATTTGAAATATGAGTCAATACTTCTTTTAGATTGATCGTTATAAACACACATATACGTCCATTTCTGTCAACGACGATAAATTATTCTTTAACCTTTTTTTTGCCAATTTTTCGTATTGTGGACGTGTGTACGAGGGAATCAATTCCATCAATTCCACACTTGCAATAACCGACAGATGGACGGAGGGTTATCGATTCAGGTCTTTTGACCTGATATTTTTCGGGAAAACTTTGTTCCGTATTTCTGAATATTACACAAAGGTTGGAAAAATAAGTATAGTCCTGTAGTTTGGGATAATGTTTTTATACTCATCAGAATGCAAGCCATAAGCAAAACAAAAATTTATATATATTCTATTGACAATGGGTACAGTGGACCAGTATATAAATATTTTTAATTTTTTTTTTTTCAATAAATTTATGACGTGCAGAAGCAAGTTTTAAAAATCCGCCAAAGTACATAAATTCCTGGCTATTGTCAAATTCGAAGTGCATCTAAGCATGTCCGTCTGTCCATCTGCCCGCCTGCTCAACTGTGTGACATATGTAATCAACATTCTCTCGTTCGCCAATATGAAAATAATGACTATAAACTTGCAGAAGAATTTAAAAATGACCCAAATCGGTCGAAGGACATGCCAGCAATGTAAACAGTTTTACATTCCGTGTTTTTTTTTTCTCGTTACCCATGCACCATGTCCACCAATTTCCAGTTTTATTATGAAAATCGAAAAACCAGCCTCGCCCACCCAATATTATAGAGTAAGCAAAGTTAGTTCAGTCTTTTTTAACATAATTCGTATAGGGATAAAAGATTCGGTCCCAACCAAACATTGTTTTCTCACTTGTTTTCCTTCTTTTTTACTGAAATTTGCGCCAGTTATACTGCGTGCAGATCCACACAAATTATACTTGGGTCGGGAGAAAGGCTCCGGTGTTGGTTGGCTTTCTAACAAGAAGTTTTTTTCTTCTTTTAATAGCTCGCTCAAAGATTACTACTCCATTAGTACAAAGATCTGTCCATTCATCTCTTCAAACTCTTACAGTGATTGCTCTCTTTAAGTTCAAAGCAATTGGCCACAGTTTAATTATTTCCAAAGTTACTGACTATAAACGGCATTGTTTATAAAATTTTAAATAAATTTCAATATTAAGTAAAATGTTTGCGGAAATCTCTTAAAATGTTTTCTTGTATGTGAACGTAAAGTGCAAACAAAAATGAGGAAAATGAGAAAATTAAAAATGTAAATATGAAAAGCAAGCAAAATTTTGTTTGTGTAATCACAATTTATTCACTACTCATATATTAAATGTTTTCAATATCGTATATGTGTATACATATATTGCAAACGCACGCCTGAATTTTCCGCCTCATATATTATTTAAGTAATGCGTAAGAATTCATTAACAATTTCTTTATACTTTTGCCGGTTAAAAGCTGCTTATTTATTTTCATTGTGGTCACAGCTGTTTGTAAATTGATTGAATATGAAATAAGAGGAATAACGAAAAACATGTTATTTGTTGAGAAAATACAAAATAAAATTCCTAACATTTCTGCTAACAAATCATTCAAGATATCATTTCAATTTTTACAGCTTCTTAAACGGCTAGTGTCAGTAAAATTATCCGTCAAGTATTTTCTGATATTGCCAGAGAATTAAAAAATCGAGAAATTGATCGCTCAGGCATGCTCCCTTAGGATCCCCCACTTGATAAGTAACTGAACAATCACTTTTAGGAAAGTTTTCCTTCCTTATGACTTTTA